GCTTTCGGGGAGCTGCTGGGGTGAGCGGCGTGGGTCCGACGCTTAGCTCAAATGACCCCCAAGTTTGACTTTCCCTTCTACTGGCTACCGATCGGACCTTGGGATGTCAGTTCTGTCCCAGGTGGGGGGACAGATAGTCATAACCTATGTCTAAACAACCACTCACTGATTTTGTATTTTAATAAAGTTGTGGCCAAAATAGTGCCCAAAAACCAAAACTAAAATTGCGTGTTATGTGTGAAGTTATTTGAGGGGTGGCCTCTACTGGAAAGTTATTTGAGGGGTGGCCTCTACGCAAAGACCTCTACTGGAAACATTGGAGAGTCCCTGCCAGTCAAAGTAGACAATGTAGGATTGGTTGGTTCAATGATCTAACTTCAGTAAAGGAGTTTCATATGACCACTTTTTTATGAAGTTATAATTATGCCAGCAAGAAGCATCCATCCTTTGTTTCTTACCTAACTTTCTCATAGCTCAAGGCAGCTTGCTTACTTTCAAGGGAAAGACTTCACCATTAAAAATGAACAGAGAAGATTGTGTCCCAGTTTTTAGCTACAGTGGTACCTTGGTTCTCAAACTTAATCCGTTCCGGAAATCCGTTCCAAAACCAAAGCGTTCCAAAACCAAGGTGCGCTTTCCCATAGAAAGTAATGCAAAATGGATTAATCCATACCAGACTTTTAAAAAAACAACAACCCTAAAACAGCAATTTAACATGAATTTTACTATCTAATGAGACCATGGATCCATAAAATGAAAGCAATAAACAATGTACTGCAGTCACACAATCAATTATTAGTAACTGAACCAGGTTCCACACAGTCACAAAAACAAAAAGAAGAGCCACAAAAACAAAAACACAAAATAAATAGCAAAACAGACAGACCTCAGCATAACACTTAAAACGGAAGTGTAGCACTCAAATCAGAAGCGTAACACTCAAAATGGAGCACATCTGGCTTCTGAAAAAAGATCGCAAACTGGAACACTTACTTCCAGGTTTGCAGTGTTCGGATTCCAAGTTGTCTGAGTACCAAGGCATTTGAGAACCAAGGTACCACTGTAATTGCATTTCCTCAAACAAATTGTGCCTTGTTGTTTTTAAGAAATACCTCTTGAATAAAAAATTATTGAAGAAGTTAGACACAGCACCACCTCAAACCAAACCAAACATGCAGTCTTATTGGAAAAGGCAATGAGTTTTATCCAATATTAGTCCTACTTAGAGTATACCCATTACAATTAATGGGCATGATTAAGATAGGTCAATAGGGCTTAGTGAGGGATGATCAAAGCTCTCCATCAACACATACAGAGCCTGTGTGTGTACAGGTTATATACCTGTCAGCTAAGGCAGACTTAGGGGAACGTGACTGATTTGGTGCAGAGCCTCAGGAGTGCCGTAGAGGGTCCCACACCTATGTTGTTGCATGGAAGGTGAGAGAATGGGCTGGATTTTAGTGTTGCACAGGGCACTGCTGAAATCTGAGGTCCCAAGGTCCCCCACTGCCTGTCAGCTCTGGCTAGACTTTCAGCTTCCTGTGCACAGAGATCATGGGTGTGAACAAGAGACACAATCCCAGCCCTCACCCTTCTAAGGCAGTGCAGTGCTCCTGATTTTCATGATCAAATCCAAGCTTTCTCTGACATCCAACCATTTATCTAAATTCTAACACAACCATTTTATGTGTCTGCAATACAACAAACCTGAAAACGTTTGTAATTTTCCTTTCCAGCGCTTGCTGGCAGTGAAGCGAGAAAGAAGGAAAATCTTTTGCTACCCTAGCACATTTTTGTTGCTGTTGAGACCCTGTTTGAGGCACTCATTTAAAAAGTTTGGTGGCACTTAAAAAAAAAAAGTTTGGGCTTCACTTTCAACTAATCAAGCTTGACGAAAATGGAAATAGTTTCAGATCTGTATTCCTAACAGGAAGTAAAACAGTACGAGAGAAGAAAACATTGCTGCAAAAAGAATGCAAATGATAAGTTTATTGATGCAAGAGGGGAGACTATGATTAAGTTGTTTAATGTACTATGCAAAGCAGTAGAAGAGTTAGTTTAATATATTTAACCAGGAGAGTTAGAACACAGCTCAGAAGTGCATTTATAATTAAACCCAATGGTCTTAGCCATTTTATTGCCTACCACACACCCCTCCCCCAGCTGCAATTGTTCATGTGTACAGATTTCCCTTGAATACTTTGCTTTGTTGCCAGGTCTACTTCTAGCTGTTTTGGGGGATGGAAAGACATAAGAGACACATGAATAAATGAAGAACATGGCTTCAAACATGAGGTCCAGCTGGCTGGACTCAGTTCTTCTCCATTTGTGTGATGGTTATGAAGCAGTGCTGGGCAATTAGAATGAAGTTAATGAGGTCCTCACACCCCAGGAGTTAACACAGTACTTTGTTGGTTTATTACAATTACAGAACTAGCCAAAACAGAGTCTTCTTTCAAAGTATTGGTAAAGAATGGAAAACATAAAAGACCGTCTGATTCCTTCTTCTCTGTCACAAAGAGAGTTTTGCTTCCATTCACAGCCGCACAAACAAGCAATGGCGTCTTCAATCAATGGCTTTCAATAATCAAAAGAGGAAAGTGAAAAAGACACAAGTTGATGCTCATTTCATCGTCATGTTCTTCAGTATTGCCACTGACCTCAGGTGACCCAACCCACAAACTGTAAAACCTGTTGCTGCCACTCCTAGAAGTGTTTATATAGTTCTATAATGTTTGGATATTGTGCTGTGCCAAAAACTGTCCTCTTGTTTTCTCGAACCACTTATTCTCCCGTGAAAGTGGCTTCTATATTTATTCTTCATTCTCAGAATTCTTTTTAAATGTACAGGTGTAACATACCTCTAAATACCACTCCTAGAGACACCTGGCTAGTCCCTTCCAGAAATAGTTATGTACCAAGCGGAAACTATGTGTAAGTTTAGCACCAGTTTTTTAACACAATGAATGGATTTTTCAGAATATGTTGGCGTCATGGCCCAATCTTCTTCTTCTTTATTAAATTTGCATACCACACATCATCTGTAGATTTCAGGCAGTTCACATCAACATAAAATACCATATAAAAACACAAACCCACAAACCTCCCACCCCCTCCCGCAGACACACTCAAAAAGGGTATAAAATGTTAATCAGCCAAAGGCCTGGTTGAAGAAGAGCGTTTTTACCTGGCACTTAATGGTGTATAATGAATATTGTGAATATGCTGTCATGGGTTGAGATCACAATCCTGAAAAATGGGCTGGTCCTAAATTTTACTGAGTCATGATTGCCAGAATCCCCTATAGTTCATGCCAGTGATGAGTTTATGCCAAAGGAAATGGTCATATGCACTATCCTTTTCTGGAGAGGGTCTCCTGCAGATAGCATCTTATTCCTTAAAATATAGGAATTGGGCTCTAAGTGTAGTGCAGCCCCTTGGACCTCCCTTCCATTACATATAAAATAGGATGTTTCTCTCTTGCCTTTTCAGCACCTTCTGAACACCTTACTTTTTCAATAAGTCTTTCAGGTGAATATGTATTTCCTAGTCTGCATCTGTATTGAATATTTGTATTGACAATCATACTGGGATGTTTCATGGGAGGTGAGTCATAAATAAAATTAAATATATAAATTTGCCCTGCAACTCATTCCAACTCTTGGCCAAGGCATCGGTGGAAGAGAGATATCAAAGACCCATTTTAAAAACATGGAAGTCAAAACATTCTCAGGCTTCCATTCCAGCTTCCATGCAGAAACAACTAAACAGCAAACATTCACTAATGGAGACAGTGCTTTTGAATGAAGCAGAATATGAATAGGAGCCTGCTGGATCAGATCAAAGATCCAGATAGGCATCCACCTTGTTTCCAGCAGTGTACAGCCAGATGACTCCAAAAAAGCTTGCGAACAAAGCAAGTCTTGCCAAGTTTCACCTGCTGCCATTAACCCTCTTGCAGCTTCATTTGTGAATCCAGTACCCGATTGCATTGTGGCAACTCTGTCATTCAAAGCAAAGCATAAAACTCTGTGCTGTGTCTAATGAATGCAAAACAACATGTCATTCGATTTTGTTTCTCTCCCACCCCCACCCCTCCAATTCTAATGACCAGCTTTCCAGGTTTAATTTAAACATTACTTTAATAAAGAATAGTCCTTCTTTATTAATTGGATTGCTTTTATTCCCCTCCCCCATATTCCTACTCAATTATCTTCAGCCTTTCAACATCCAGGGTTGTTTTTTGTTTTGCTTTTTTAACCGTTAATGGCCTACAGTTCCATTGCAGCCTTCCTGTAATGGAGGCAAACTTGTGCCAGCTCTCTGCATAACCTCAGTAATGCTCATTCACTCAGAACTCCTCCATCTGGTTCTTCATCCATCCACAGAACCAGCTGCTCTGAACAAACACATTTTCCACCTTGCCTGATGTGTCAAATATTTGTGATATATTGCTTCTATAATTAACCATTTTGAGCCTGAAGAGAAGAAAAAAGAAAGTCATCCATCTATCTGTAAATATAAACAATTGTTTTTCTACCTAGTCAGGTACAACATTTTGAAACTTCATTAGATGAAAAGGTACTTTTTCATTTAGGATGATCTTGTAAAAAGAAAGACCACGGAAATTAAGAGGTAAGGATAAGGTTGGCATATGGTTTACATTCTCCCCTCCTTCCACCCCACTTACAAAGTATATTCACACAATCATCAGTTGCATTTTTTCCTGAGTCACCAAATGATGGAAGTCAAAGGATACCTAGACACCTAAAGCTAAAAGACTGTAACAATATAAATCTGGGAATGCACAATTGCACTTGAGAGAATCTGTAACACCCTCTTTAACTTAGCTGAACCAGTGTTGATTATGGATCCCATCAGTCATTGGCCCATTTCAGTTAGAATCATAGTTGGTAGGGACCTGAGAGGTCATCTAATCCTTCATGATCCAGGGAAACCACTACTCTAGCATCCCTGCTAGGTGATCATCCAGTCTTTGTTGGGGAAAGAGCATAGCTTGGTGGTAGAGCATCTGTCTTGCATGCAGAAGGTCCAAGATTCAATCCCTGGTGTCTCAAGGGTAGGGCTGGAGAATGTCACTGTCTGAAATCCTGGAGAACCGCTGCCAATCAACACAGAAAATACTGTGCTAGAGGAATCAAGTATAAGGCAGCTCCCTATGTTCCTGTTAAAAAATATCTAAGGAGAATCCACCACCTTCCAGAGTGGTCTAGAAGAAAAAAATGTTGTTTTTACTTATTTCCACTGTTGAAAAGTTTTTCCCATCAGGAACTTTATTAAGTTTCATTTGGTACCTAATCTTGATTATTACATCCATCAGGGGAAACTGATTTTCTGAATCAAGACACACACACATTTACACTGACTAACAAAAAAAGAGATTAATTTCTCATAGCAAAATATTTCATCTTCTGTCTGCTTCAGCTACTCTGATGTGAATGAAAGCAGTAGCCAAGGTTATCATTATAGAATACCGAGGATGTAATATTCAGAAATGTCACAGCTGCTGTAACTGGGTGATGTTAGGTGTTAACCTTAGGTCAAAGCCATGTGGTATCAGAGTTTCCAGTCTATAGATCCAGAAGCTTTGTCTTCTTTTTAATGGCCTTGGAGCAGATGGCATCTCTATTGCAATAAGTGATACCTCAGAGAGTGTGTAATTCTCTGAATTATAGGCAGACAAACCATAACCTAGGGTATAGGTGGAAGACTAGATTTGGCCATAGCCGTCAATGTTTCCCTTTTTTTAAGGGCAATTCCCTTATTCCAAATAGGATTCCTTGCAAGAAAAGGGAAAAGTTGACAGCTATGGATCTGGCCAGAGGATCAGATCCTTATCCCCACCCCATCCCACACCAGGTAGATGAGGCTGCTCACCAGTCAACCATCCAATATCAAAACAATGTTGGGTGACCTATTTTTGCAAAAGCACTGTGCATGGAAGCTGAAATGTTCAGCTGATTGCCAAGGCTTGCAAAGCTCTGTGCACTGCATTTTGTAAGCCCCAAACACATTGCACAGAGTTGGGCATGGATGCCCCAATGATATGCTGAGAAAGAAAGAGGCAAGTGCATGGAACAGAAATGGAAATGTGAAAAATGTGAGTGTGGGGCCAGACAACAGTAATGAATTTGCTTGAATTACATTGTATGTCTTATTTTCAGAGAACTTGTGTCTTGTTTTGTAAATGAGTCCAACTATTCCAGTTTGAGCATTGCTGATGTCCCAGCTGACATTTAGTGGAGCATCCAATGGAGGACTGCAGGAGCAGTTTTCTTTGGACCATGGTGTCCAAAGCCCAGCTGTGGGGAGCCTTTGCTCTCCCCACATGTGGCTGAACTACAACTCCCCTCATCTCTGGTCATGCTTGCTGGGGCTGATAGGAACTGTAGTTTGGGGACATCTGAAGGGCCAGAAGTTCCCCATACTTACCTTAGACCTTTTACCAGCTGCTTGGGAGCTATCCAGAATTATATGGGAGCTATCCAGAATTATCCTGGACCCAGCAACAAGGGGAGCTTCAAGTTCCACATGAAAGTGGGACATGATCGGTGCCTGTTGGATAAATAGTGGGAAGAGTGTTGCATTAGAAAGTGAATGAACATTTTAGCAGGTGCAGGCCCCATAGCACCACATTAAAATAAAATAGATGACACTTAATACAATCCAGTTCAAGAGCACCCAGTGAGTCAGTCCTCCAGCTCAAAAACCAGGGCCAGCTTTCTCTACTGCTCTCCACTAATTATTATATCCCTGTTAAAATACTGTACAGTTTAGTGTCATGCACATTTTTTTTTTTAGCCTTTCTCCATCAATTTATTGCATTGTAAAATTATAAAACAGGGTGGAAAATTTTGCCAAAATTATCATGAATTGAGTCTGCTCTCTTCAACTGCCCCAAGTTCCTGGGATTTAAAGCCTAGTGGAAGACATAGTGAGACATATTTTTTCCCATGGGGCTTTTTCAGATCAGGAAACATCAGCAGCTATGGAGGCTACAGACTGCTGGACAAATATTTCTTGGAAAGAAAAATACTCACATCACCCCTGGCCACCTCACAAAAGTTAAGGTAAGTTCAAAACCCCACACCCAGAGTAATTCTAAAGTACCCACAGAATGAAGGAGAAAACTAGAAGCCTCTTTCAAAAGGAAAGAAAACATTAAAATAATAATAATGGAGGACTGATTTCAGTCTAGCACCAGTCCAATTACTTCATGGGCTTCCTCATATTCCAAACTAAAAATGAGAAAATCCTTCTTTTAATTAGTGGTATATATATTTCCTACTGTCATCAATAGCAAATACATTTTTAACAGACAGCAACAATAAATTAATAAGCAATTAAAGTAGATCTAATTTGTTAATGTGACATTTGCATAAAAAGGGGGAATGGAAGAGGAATACAACCATTGTTGTGAATTACAGTACAGCACTGTTAATTAGCAGCAGCTTATCTGGTTGGCTCAACTGCTGGCCATGTAAAAATGTAGATATTCTGTTAGAAATGGTTCACCAGTCCAGAAAACATGAGCACATTTTTAAAGTCTAAGAGTTGTGTCCAGCGATGTGCTAGCCAGAGCAGACCCACTGAACTCAATGAACTAAAATTAGTTGTGACTATTGTTTTCAATGGATCTACTATAGGATGTGGGGACTCGGGTGGCGCTGTGGGTTAAACCACAGAGCCTAGGACTCGCCGATCAGAAGGTTGGCGGTTCGAATCCCCGCAACGGGGTGAGCTCCCGTTGCTCGGGAGTATTCTTATTTGATATAAGACAGCTTCCTATTTTCCAGTCTATTATTCTACTCCAGCAGTTATCAGTGTACATTATTGCTAGTACAGTGGTACCTCAGGTTACAAACGCTTCAGGTTACAAACACTTCGGGTTACAAACGCCACTAACCCGGAAGTAGTACCTCGGGTTGAGAACTTTGCCCCAGGATGAGAACGGAAATCGTGCACTGGCAGTGGGAGGCCCCATTAGCGAAAGCGCGCCTCAGGTTAAGAACAGTTTCGGGTTAAGAATGGACCTCCAGAACAAATTAAGTTTGTAACCTGAGGTACCACTGCAGTAGTAGAAGTGAGTACAGTGGTACCTTAGTTCTTGAACGGCTTAGTTGATGAACAAATCAGCTCCCGAACGCTGAAAACCTGGAAGTAAGTGTTCCAGTTTTTGAATGTTTTTCGGAAGCCAAACGTCTGACATGGCTTCCATGTGAGTGCAGGAAGCTCCCGCAGCCAATCGGAAGCTACGCCTTGGTTTCTGAACAGTTTCGGGAGTCCACCGGATTTCCAGAATGGATTAAGTTCAAGAACCAAGGTTCAGTGGGATAATTCATATTTTAATAGCTGTAGCCTTCCCTTTAACTAGTAAATTTCTAAGGAAAAATAATAGCTCTGTATTATATATAAAAAAATGGACCCTATTTATGAACAGCTTTGTTAGCCTGTGGTGAAAATGGCCTCAACTGTCAAAGTCAGTTAAAATAAATCAAGTGCAAGACCAAGTTACTTTGCTGTTACTTTGCAAGCTTTCTGTCGATCTCCTGGCTTTGAGCTCATGGGCCACATTTCAGGAACCACTGTCTCTCCTCTATGACTGAAACCTACCAATCTCCATATTGTGCCGGAGGCTGGGCCAGTTTACAAGACCATGCTGATCTCTGTTTCTTTCCTAATTTAAAGTGTTCAACCTGCCCTGTCCTCAAGAAGCCCTGAAGAGGCCTGAAACCAAATGCTGTAATTTAAAAGCCAGCTTCCATCTGAGGCATTAGCATTCTATTCTCAACCTCCTCCTCTCTCCAATATTACCTCAGATTAATTGGAAGTGTATAAAAGATGTTGCCAGGTTCACATTGGTAACCATGGTAGCCTTCATACTATCTGCACAATGCATACGTAATTCATTCCTCAGGAAAACATAATTAGAACATAACATAATACAGTCTTTTCAAGCATCACTATGATATGGAAGTTGAGGGGGGAGTGGAATCTGTCGAACAAGGCTCTACCCTTACTGAACATTTTCATTTCAGCCATCTATCTTTGCAAGCTGTGTCGCTGCGGCACAGCTGATTTGCAGGTTCTTACCCTTAAACCAGGATATACTTAATTCTGCAGCCAGAAGGTGGCAGTGTGACATCTGTTATCAGTTTTGTTTCATTCTACAGCCCAGTACTAAACCCGCAGCAGTCCACGCCCAAGCAAAAGCTAAGCATGTATATCAATGACCATTTTGCTTTGCTGTTCTTCAATATCAGGAAGCCCCCCATACAGCCACCAATAGAGTCTTGCACTTATCAGGAAGTTTGTCCAAGATAACAGTTCTTTGTAATAATGAACATACCTAAGGCAAGAGAAGTGAGCGGCATTACACAAAAGTGTCCAGCAACAGCTTCTCCAGTTACACATCATCTATCCATCTATCAGAACGCTTCCATCAAATTAAATGGAAGTTAGGGGTTTATGCAGTGTTGTCTGGTGCAAATGCTCTTGCACAAGCAGACTGCTGAGTTTTAATATTGCACAGCGGGGAAATCCAGCACAACAGTTGCTGTGCAACAGGTAGCAGCACCTGCCTGCCTATGAGTTGAGGCAAGGCAGCAACAAAGTTGGGGGAATTCCAGGTTGGCAGCAGACCTACAGCTGCCTACACATCTGCATAGCCACTGCCACAAATCTGGAGCTCCCCTGATCTCATCTCTGCCCCATGCCAACCAATCCCCATCCTGGGAAGTAATAGAACCATTTTTGGAGGGTGTCTCTGCCCCTGCTCTGCCATTCCACCCACCCTTCTCACTGCTGATTTCTTGCAAATTTATTCCAAAAAGGGACAAAACTGAGTTATAGGTGAACACTTGAGGAAATGAAAGATATAAAAAAAACAACAGACTAATTCTCCCATCAGTTTTCTAGAGAATGGGTTCTCTATTTTGGACTACAATTTGAAGCATGATACAAACTGCAGAATCATAGAATTGGAAGAGATTCTACTCTAACCCACTGTAATGCAGGAATCTCAATGGCAACATCCGTGACAGATGGCCATCCAACC